TAAAGTATCAAATTTATCTTTATTTCTTCCATATTTATATTTCATTCGCTTAAAATGTTCCTTTTATTTTAACTTTTTCTCTCTGTGTAAACTAAAAAAAATCGTCTGAGAAAAAAGCAAAGAAAACCCACCGAACGCAGGCAGACGCATTACAAATTCACACCAAGTGGCACCCACAGCCGCAGCTCAGCTGCAGATACATTTTCAAGACCATGGTGCCCAGGGCCTGTCGAGGGCTCTGCGGGGAAATGGTTAATCATTTAGGTATAAATCTCGATCGCGTCTTTGTCTGACATTGCCCGTGGGGGCTTACAACCAGCCACCACTTCCAACTACCAACCAGTGACTCTTACACAAAAACGCGTATCGAACCATTAACGTCCTTGTCGGCCTGTAATTTTACACTGGCGAAGAAAGACTAGAGAGCTGCAGGGAAACTCTACTAATTGGACCACAATCATTAATACATTTTGAGTTTCTTTTGTAATGAAATTTGAAGCCAGAAAGGGTTAGGAAATAGGAAAAGATTGATAATTATAAAACATAGAACAAATAATTTGTGAACTTCTGTAACCAAAAGAACAATATTATAAATATCTTTTCTAAAAAAGAGATCAACAACAAATTGGTTGAAGTTCTAAAAATTTATAATATTCCTTTTTAGAATCCCATAAAACTTCCAACATTTGTAGAATTATTAAAAACCCACTGTGATACGTAGTAACTCCATTATTCCCCGTTGACCACGACTGGCTGACTCTTTTTTACTACCAATTTTCCACCTCCCCCACTCCAGGGCATGCAAATGAGGCAAATGCATCCAATTCAGAGTGGCTCCGTGGGCTACGTGGTGGAGCTGAAGATAGAAGATCAGGAGACCAAAGAGCTCTCAAAGAGCTAGCGACAAAGAATTCCAAGAATTGTGAGCGTCAATTGATTTACTCAGCTGCGCGCCGTTGGTCGGTCGGTTGGTCGCCGGTTGATAACTCTGAGATTTGTTATATTTGCTTCATCATCGCGCCACAAACGAGGCAGTTTGAAGTCGCGCTGCTTGGGAAATGTTTGGAGCGGCGGCGGGGGCACGGATGTGGAAGGAGCTGAGGCGAAGCCGGAGCGATCTTCATCATCATTATCATCATCATCGGGCACCGCACACATGTGCGCACATTAAAAAGCAAGTTTCTCAGGTGTTTAAAAGCGTTTAAAAAGAAAACACAGACACAGAGAAGAGGACGGGGCGAGGAATTGAGACGAAGATCCCAACGAGACAACAATAAACGCAGCCGCAGTCCGAAAGGCAGAGGGGTAGAGTTAAAAATACTCCAACTCGTACTGGTACTGGTACACTATGCCAAGAGCCAAGAGCCAACTGCCAAGATCCAAGATCCAAGAGCCAGTTAAAGCCATGATCATGATCTCGCGACTTGCGAGCCATGGAAACCGCGCTCGGACGGACAGCTGGCGGCGACGCCAACCAATGTCTACAATTGGGTTTGAAATAATGGAGTCGGAGGGATTATATATTAAGAAATTATAATAATTTAAGAGGGGGTTCTAAAATATATTAAAAAAAAGATGAATAAGCTTTTTTTTTTGTAATATTTGGTCCTTTGAAGAGGTTGCTATTTAATATCTAAATATCCAGTTTTTAGGACCATTTATCAATCGATTTTTAAGGCAAGATATTTTCCTTTATTTTCCTAAATATTTTTGTTGTAAAATATACATTATTAAATATATTATTGCATTTTCCTTTACTATTTCTGTGAGCCAAACTGTGTGAGACGCCGGCAACGACGAGCACGTGAAGGTTGCCCAGTCTCGAGCCGCCGACTTGGAGATTTACTTAACGAAATCAAGAGGAAGCGCGTAGGATCGCAGATGGGAATGGGTATGGTCGAGGGGTTATGGGTTGAGCAGCTGAGGGTTTGGGGAACGGGAATCGGGGCAACTGGGGGGCAGTTAACCTAGCTGTCATACAGCATTGATTGCTCCGAGGCAATGGCAATACAAAAGCCTCACTGACTTTGCTTGATTGCGAGCCAACCTGGGCAACTGGGCAAGGGAAGGGGTCTGATGAGGGCGGTACTACTACTCTTTTTTTTTTTTGTGTGTTACTTTGGACCACGTACCAGTGACTCAGCATCTCTATACACTTATTTTTTGTGTGTTAACGATGCGGATGGCTGACTGGCTAGCTGGGTCTGGTTCGGCCAAAATGTTAAGTGCATGTTTTGATTGGTTTGTGGCGGCCAAAACGGATCGAGATTATGGTCCATGAATAGGAGCCAACTCCAGCTCCAAGAGCAGCAGCAAGGAGGCTCATCTTGGCAGCGGAGATAATGTGCAACCTTATGTGCATAATCTTCTTAAGAGGTGTCACAGGCATTTATTATGGTTAAGGAAAAAGCGCTCGTCGGCTTGCGGCCACAAAAGCCAAATTAATGATCAGGCTAAATTATAGAGTTTGGCTTAAATCGGACTGTAAGGTTCCCTCGAGAATGTGCGAATCGGGGGAGTGTAATTTTGAAAGATATAAATGATGATTTTGGCCATTTAAAAAGTGAAGTTTGGTTATAAGTTGAAGGGGAAATACAGGTACCAAAAAAATGTTGAATAAATATTTTAATATTTTAAAGACGTCTTAAGATAGTATAAATAAATATTATTGTGTATTTAAAATTTCATAGTTTCCTTTTAAAATTTAATTGAACTAAGTTCGCACATCTCTCAATAAAATATTCTTAGAAATACCTTTTATAATCGCCGTCAGAACTTCCTAAACTGGATTTCAAAACACATCCTAAACGGACCATGACCATTATAGCTGGCCAAATGTTACTCAATCCCTTTGTTGTTTTCCTTTTGGCCATTGAACATCTGCAACACCTGTTGCTCGCCCATGCAAAACTAGGCAGAAAAGGTGTGTGTATAGAGTGTTAGAGGTGAGGTTTTTAGTTGGAATGCAAAACCCTTTCCCTCTGCCGGAATCGGGATGATGAATTAGGCGAATTCTGGAAATTCCGCAACATGCTAACGGTGGCTCTAGAGGATGAGTGTGTGAGGATGCAACCGGCTGCAGCAGAGGCAACAATGGCCAATGGCCGGTGCAACACGCATTTACAATGGCCTGCGAGACTTAACACCTGTGTGCCAGAATGTGAAAATCTCCACAAATATTTGACGTGAGCTGAATAGAGGGAAAATTTGCATTTGCCGTGGCGGCAAAAGAACAAAAGCGAACAGGTAAAAACTCACCACCACCTCTCCGCATCATTAACACGTCCCGGGATTTAGACGGACTCAAGCCGAAAGGTGCGAAAATCCATCAAAGATATTAGGTATCTCTCTATTGTTTTATTAGTTTTTGTTCTTTCGATTCATGAAAGTCTGTCCCTGAATGTATTTGAGTGGAAATTGCATTTGGAATGTTTGGCAGCGTGGAATTTAAGGCATTGGCCATGGGCACGTTCGAGTGACAAATGTCAATTTGCATTCGATTGGCAAATGTTCTTTTGGCTGCCGTTAATTGCACGCCTGCCCCACCGAAGCCGCCCTGTTTCAGCCACCGATATTTATTTATATTTTTTTTATTCGATTTTTTTATTGTTTTTGTAGCAACTCTCCAACTGTTTGCAATCACTGGAAATCGGCGGTAACTGCCACTGTGGGCTCGACGCTGTTCAAGCTCAAGAACACACCTTAAACTGTTCTTTTCTGAATGCTTTGTGCAGTTTAAGAAATTTTTGGGTTCTTTATTTATTATTATAAATTAATAAATTATATAAAAAAATACATTTTTAAGTAGGAAATGGGAAATTGAAGCTTAGAAACCCAGAAGTTGTCTTCTTCAATAAATTTCTTTTATAAGTTCCCAGTTTTTCATATATAATTTTCTTCCTGTGCCTTTGTAACCTCTGTGTCTGGCTTGCTATTGAAATTGGAATTGGAATTCATGGGGCAGGCCGAGAGTCAAGAGCCAAGTGCCATGCCCATGCCCATGCCCGTGTCCATGCCCGTGCCCCAACTGGCAACTGGCTGCAACAAGTTCAAACACATGACGTCGAGTCCAAGCCGAGTCGAAGCCTGAAAGTCGATTGTTGTCGCGCCTCTCGCCCAGAGTTGGAGCCTCCACAGCCTCGGTTCAATGTCAATTTCGATTCGTCATCCGCAGCTGCGTTGATTTCTCGAGCGACCTATGCCGCATGTATTCCCCTCTGAGACCCCCATCATCTCCAACCCATGTTGTTTGCTTTTGTAGCCGCGTTCTTTTTTTTATGGTCATGTTAAGTTTGGACTTGGCTTTTAACACACGGACAGATGGAGGAGATGGAGGCAGGACCACCGGCGATCGTCGCCGGCTGGGGTTCATTCTAGTGTATCGTAATTTATTGACGCGACGCGAGGTTGAGGTTCGGTTCGGTTCGGTTTGGTTCGGTTCCCGGGGTAAATGCGGACATGTGTGGGCAGCCCGGAGGCGAGATTACGTCGCGGATGCCCTTGCATCTGCAGCTGGCAAAAGTCCGGGGCTAAAGCTCTGAAGTCTCGTCTGCTGCAAAATCCACATCCACATCTTGGACGCCCACACGAAATGTCACTACTATCTTCTCCTTGAGTTTGTGTTTGTTTTTATTTTTTTTATTTTTTGTTTCTTCAAAAGCGCATGCGCAGCTGAGGGTAGACCCAAAGTGCATTGATCTGCGGCATCCGTTCTGCTTAATCATTGCACTAAATTGTTGTTTACACAGGAACTTAATAAGGTATTACAGAGGATGTATTAAGGGAGGGAGTATTTTAAAAGGGGGATATAAAAATTAAACTGAAAATTAATAAGTAACTAGAGACTAACTAGTTGAATAACTTTTATAATTCCTGTGTAAAAACGAGTTTATTAAATTAAATATTAGAAACCTTTATGAGTGTTTTTTAAGTTCAAATTTTCCCTTAAACCCCATCCAACTCACCTAATTTAAAATCCTCAAGTATTTACTCACATAAAATTGTTTTATTAAAATTTATTTCTTAATTATTGAAAATACAAATCATAAAATCGTCATCATAATAATCTCAGCCCTGCAACCAATGTGCACTGACCATGCGCACTCTAAGGACTTGTCTCTCTTCCTTTATCTCTATAGATATATTTATATGCTTGGGAATAGAGTGCATTCTTATACAATATACATGTCTCATTATCTCCCCCACTATGGCCACCGCCAGGCTGCGATTCAGTTCCAATTTGTGGAGCTAGTGCTCACTTGGGCCTGGTCCAAGGCCATCTGCTGTTGGAGCAACGACATTCGCAAGGATTGTTGCTGCTGCTGCTGTTGTTGCTGCTGCTGTTGCTGCTGTTGCAGTTGCTGCTGCTGTTGCTGCTGCATCATCTGTTGCTGAGGCGGCTGTTGCATGGTCTGCAGCAGCAACTCTCCCATCTTGGCTCTGAAAAACACATTCTGAATGGGCGTCATCTGCTTCATGAGCGGCAGAAAGCTGATCAGGTAATTGTAGTCCGAGTCGCCCACATGGAGCACATTCTTGCAGCGGGCCAGATCCTGGCTGGTGGACTGCATCAGCTGTTGTTCCTCCCGCTCGAGATTCTCCAGGAAGTGGACCTGTTCATCCACCCGCTTGGCGCAATGGCAACTACTGGCAGCGGCGGCTGCCAAGGCTGTTCCCTGGGCCAAATTCGGCTGGACATTGGCGTTTACGGTCATGGGCATGCCAAGACCCATGCCCAATCCTCGGTTTACAGGCGGTGCTACCTCCTCTTCGGCCGCTGCACTAGCCAGAGAAATGCTCTGGGAGAGTCGACGCAGGGCCTGTGGGGTGGCCACGTTCTGGAACTCTTGCATCAGGGCATCGTTGTCTGCCTCCATTTCTTGCTGTGAGTCTTCTGTTTTGAAGGTCATCAGGGAGTCGGGCTCCTCCTTGGGCTGTCCCTCGTCTAGTGCTGCTGCGCCGCCTGCCTCGTCCTCCTCGTCGTTGTTGCTGCTATCCCGATCTTCTCGTAATCTGAGATTATCCAAGAAGCTCATGGCCTCAGCATAGGACCATTGGTGGACGGGCGATGCCGTTTGGGGATTTGCTCTAGAAAGGCCGCTTCGCCGGTTTTGGCGGCGATAACTGCACCGTAAATTTTTCCACTTGGTGCGACACAAGTCCACTGAGAAAAAGTGGAAAGAATGAAAAGTAAAAGCAGTTGTTAAGTGAAAGAGAGGAAAAATATGAACAAAAAGAGGGTACAGAGAACGTAAACAAGTCACTCGTCATCGTTCGTGCATTGTTATCTATTACACTGAGCAAAATAGTTAAGGGTTTTATTTGAATAAATTTTTTTAACTAAAATGCTATGAAATTTGACATATTTTTAATACAAATAATATGAAAATTTGTTAAAATATCTAAAGAGTTACTCTTTAATTTTTTTATATATAATAAATAATATAAAATAAAATCACCATTAAATTAATATTAACAAAATTCTTAGTTTATGTAATATTTTAGCTTAAGATAATATGAGGTAATTACATATTTAATAATTTATAATAATAATTTATATTAATAAATTTAAGCTTATTTAAAAATACATAGGTTAAACATTTAGGTAAATTTTTTTTCTGTAATGCTTTTCTTTCAGTGTACACTCACCGTTGAGCCCGACTGCCTCCGCCACGCTGCTCCAGAGCCGCTGCGTCTCCGGTCGATTGGCGTGGTCCGGATGCGTGGGATCCCAGAGAGCGGGCCGGAGCCTCACCTCGGCGATCAGCCTGTGCATGTCCATGTGCCTGCGTCTTTATCGTCCAACTGAAAACTGAGCGGAATCCGAAACTCTCGGGCAGCCGGCGCGCAGGAGAAAACATACCGGGGCGTTCTCTTGCCTCTATTTCTCTCCAGCGATGAGGATTCTCTGAGAGAATTCCAATCCCATTCCCATGGCGATGGAGGTAGTGCTGGTGGGGAAAAGATGGCACAGAAAACAAAGTGAAGTGTGCTAAAAATGGCATGAAAATTCAACGGTTATTGCAAGCTTTTATGTTGTTATTGCCTTTGATTTCAAGTGCTAACTGTTATTTATGGAATACCCTTTAATATAAATCAAATTTAATTATATATAAAATATTATATATACTAAAAATTAAATATTTTATAAAATTTACCTAAGTAAAAATAACCATATAACTATAAAAGCAGTGATAAAATATCAAGATTTAGTAGGAAATGATTTTAAAATCCATAAAAAATTTATTGATTAATTTAGGGAGTCTTCATTTCATATTTCTAAATTTATTTAAATTAATAATATATTTTATTTAACATTTTTCTTTTTAATTTTATAAATTTAAAGAGCATTTAAAAGCTACTTCTCACCCTGCAATTTAATTATTTATCTCTGGGCTCTCTTCTGTAACGCTTTTCACTCGCTTTTTGTTTGCTTTTTTTGCATTTATTTGCTTTTTGTTCTCGCGAGTTGCTGTTGCTTTTGGTTGTTGCATTTTTATTGGGTTGCTTGGCGTGGCTGCTTTTTGCCAGACATTGACCTTGCGCCCGCACAGTGGGGCGGAATGCAATGAACATGCTTCAAATGTGGCCATGTGCCGAGGATGATAATGATGATGATGGTAACGTAAAGTAACTTCCTATCTCCCTGGTGATATCGGGGAAGTTTCAAATATTTGCACAGCCGGGCGGCGGCTGATTGCCAGTTGCAACATGTTGCAGTCGTCGTTGTCGGCGTTGCCCAAGAAAGGCCAAAACCCGAGAGCAACACATGTTGCCAAGCTGCCAGACGATTGTGGCACTACAAAAAAAATATTGAAAATATTATAATATTATAAATAATATATAAATTTGAACAAGAAGAAAAGCTAACTTCAATACGCATCAGGATATTAATTAAATAATAAAAATATATCAATAAATTGAATAATTAAGAAATTATATTACCCTGAAAGGGTTCAAAAATAGGCTTTAAAATTTATATTTTTGAATTTATTGAACTGCAATGAACTTTACCTTTGGAAACAAGGTAAATAAATGTTTTTATATTCCATTTACATAGGTTTCAGCTTTAGGTTTTCTGGCATTACCTATAATATTTCTTAAGAATTCTTAATATTTCTTTGCGTGTGTCTCTGCGACTGCTGGCGATGTTGCTGCTGCTGCTTGCTAAGACGGCGACAACAAGTGGACGTGGAAAATATGCGACAGCAATTATCTCTGGCAACGACCGGGCCATAGCCATATAGCATACGATACTCGTACTCGTACTCGAATATAGCATATCCATATGCTGTCGCCTGCTCGGATTTGCGCACGACTTTCGCTTACCATTCCAGGCCGCTCCGCTCCGCTCCGATCCGTAGTATGTCATTGTTGTAGATGCTGTTGAGGCTGCTGCCGCCGCCGTTGTCATCAGTTGCAGCTGCTGTCAATCTGTTGGCCGGCCTTTCGCTGCTGCTGAACGAAAATTTCCATGTGTCATTTCAAAAATGCAAATATGGACATGATCTGGTGTGCCCTGGCTCAGATGTTGCTCCTGTCTGCCCCTGCCATCCATTCCGTAGTCTTCCACATGTCCAGATCGTCAGGCGATGCTGCTGCTGATCAAGATCCCAACCTGACAGCCAAGTGACGTCTAAATTTTGTTCAACAAAATGATTATAAAGGCATTTATGCATGCGTAGTCAGAGTCAGAATGGAGATCGAGACCTAGCCACTTTCGGAATCTGAATACCAGAGACACTTGGCAGAATAATATACCTTGAAATGGGAGAACAAAGATGTTAAGATATTCCTGTAAGAAAATACATTGCTAGCGTAATACTTCAAGCCTGTCTTGAGCTCTGATGTGTCAGAACTTTCCATATTTGTGTTTAATATTCCCCAGTATTTAAACGGAATTAAAATTTTAAATAAATTATTCTAGTTCCCTTAATTTTCTCTCACTGTACTCTGACATTGCTTGTTTTGTAGCTGGCTGCCTGTTTACAATTGATTTGTTGCTAACCAATATCCCATGTCCACTGACTGACTCCGTCAATTGTCAATGTTTGTATTCAAATTTCAGAGATCGGCTTTTCATGTTTATGGCAATTTATGAAGGCTTTGTTCGGCTCCTAGAAGACTCAGCCGACTCAAGAAATAAATAAAAAACAAAGACAGAGACCGTATTTAAATGTTAACAAATAAATATAAAAAAGAACTATCACAAGCGATTATGTTATAACTTGGATTCTAACGCCCCATTAAAGCAATTGCAATTGCTGTTGACGGCATTTAACGCTGGCCATAAAATGTGACCGTCGTTGTGGTTGTTTTTGTGTTTTTTTTTGTCGCAGTATTGCAGTTGCAGTTGCTGTGATTGCCGTTGATTGTTATAACAAATTTGCATAATTATGCCGCTTATCTTGGCCATATGTCTGGGGCTTAGAGAGACTGACTTGAAAACTGGTAGACGTTGCCACGTCTGCAACACGAGCCGCGATTCGACAGCAGCAGCAGCAACATCAGCAGTAGTTGCAACTGCAATTAGAGGTGAACGTATTTTTAAAAGAATAATATTATACAATTTCCTATTTAAACAAGATTTTTGTAACTTAAATTATTTACTAAAAGATCGGCTTTCTTTTGTAGATTTAATTGTATAAAAAATACTATTTAATTTCTAATTTTTTTGTTGTTTTTTCTTTTGCATCTCTGACTGCTACACCCACATGTCACTCCCTATTGTTAGATGCTAAAGCTTCAGAAGCTGCGAAAAACCAACCTCACATGTTGCTGCTGCCGTGTTAATTGCCGCTTGTTGCTGCTGCAACAACATAATAAATTACCAACCGACTGTAAGCGAGAGATGGAAAAACAGTTAGTTGACATTGACGCACTGCGAATCATAAAAACGGACAACAAATTGATTGCCAATCAACAACATGAACACGACAGCAGCAGCAACAGCAGCAACATTGGCAATGGCAACCTGCAACTGCAGGTGTCAATGAATGTTGCAAATAAGGAAAGGCGCGACAAGCGTGGCCAACGAGGGGAAAGGAGATCGAAAGACTAGAAAAAAGTTAATTGACCGATGCCAATTGCTGCTAATGTGGCCAGTTATTATGTCAAACGGTCAGCAGCAGCAGCAGAGCAACCGGAGCCGCATCAATTGAATTCAAACTGGACAATTGTCACGCAGCTGATGCGGCAGCAACTCCAGTTGCAGACCAACTGCTGCGATACAGTTTTGGCAACTGGCAGCCCACACGAATCCGCAATCCGCCAGTCTGCCATCGGCCATCCGGCGAATGAAAGATGTCCACGAGGCGCACATGGAAAAATTCCAATAGCAATTAAAAATATTTCCAACGCAAATGCAGCCATCGGGGGCAAACGTAACAGACAGCTGCAGAAATGCACTGGGAGAAAATAATTAATATTTTAAATAAATATTTCTATTTCAATTGCGAAATACAGGAAAACAGTTTATAACTTATTGATATTAAATATTCAATATTAATATAACAAATTATTTCCAAGTGCAACTTGGACAGATTTCACCTTGTGCCGTCGTCCGCCTGATGATGTCGTCTCGGATCGATCCAGTTCGCGTCCAGCATCCAGCTTCCAGCTCCCGACTCCTGGCGGCTGCCAGCCTGGCCTGGTGGAGTGGCGTGGCGTGGAGGCCGTCTTTGGCAGCTGCGTTGGCCGTTAGAAATGCTAATGAAAGTCAAGCGTCCGTCCATCGGCATTGGCAGCTGCATCCCCATCCCCGGCACCACCGATCGAGTGGTGCGTTTTGCGATTTGATTGCATGGGCATAGAAAGTTGCACGGCTACCGTTTTTGGTGGCCCCGGCTAGGCCAGCTTGGAACAGCTGCCAAGGGGATTGGGATTTGGCATCGATATCTGGGAATGTGCTCTCCATCCATCCAACATATGCGATACATTTTTTTTTCAAATACATATTTTCCGCTGCTGCTGCCGCATTTTTTTCAACTATTTTCCAGCCGCATTTCCTTGGCGTTTTTTTTTTGCGCGGAAATTCTGCACACGTGTCGATCGTTCAAGTTTTTATGATTGCTAGCAGCAGCTTCCTGCTGCGGGGCAAGGACGTTTCGGTTGGGTTTTTGTTTTTGTTTCTGCCTGCCGCACTCACCCTACCCTCCCTACCTCCCTACCTCCCAACCTCACTCCTGTGGTAGCCAACCCCCTTTGGCAAGGCCCTTTCCCAGCTGTCCACATCACATGTGTGCCTCACACATGCCTTGCAGCCGGCGATTCGGTATCAGGAATGACAGCTTAGCTATAGTTATGGAACATATGGCACTCTTTTTTGGGAATCAAGTCAAATTTAATACTTTAATTTGGAAGAAAATATGATATTTGATTACTTAGAAGGATATATACTTGTAAAGAAAAACAATTGCTAAAAGTTGATACATTTTTAAATGATTTTTCACTTAACTTGAATCAAATTTAAAGAAGATATACTTACAAATATATAAATACTGTATACATCATAATTTAATTTCCTTTTAATACCTATAATCCCTCCGCATCTTCCACTCTAAACCCCCTGAGCAAAAGACTGACTTCCATCGACGTCTGGCAACCAGTTCGCCTCATCAGTTTTATGGCTTGCAGCCGCCGTCGATGATGTGAAGAGCAGCACATGGCCACCGCCTTATGCTGCTGCTGCTTGCTGCCTTCTTCCCCAGACCCCAGAAGGAGAAAAGGCAACATTGACCGGGAAGCGGAAATCTCAATGGGATCGTGGACATGTGCGTGGAATGCCTGAAACTGAAGCAGCTGTGCCATATCTGGCCTGCTTCCTCGCCCTTGCCATTGGAAGTTTTGCAGCCTGATAAAGCCAGAGGAGAACCCCGAATCTAAAGCCAAATCAGAGCTAGAAATTGAGAAATTCAGAAACCCGCATAAATATA